CTGAGAAGTGACACAACACCGATGCAGCTGGGCATCAACTGCTCCTCCGTGCAGTTTTTTGTTCGAGATGCTCAAAGTATGCCGGATAGTTTTCTTTGCTGCCTTTGCTGCACTGATGGCGGTGTGTGGGGTACCTGCTGTTGAGTCTTGCTGCGAGCTTTCCGCCCTTTCTGGGAATGGCGCTCTGGCAATGTTTTCGCAGATTCATGGGTGCCACGGTCAGCATAGCTCACCGGCCAGAAGACGGCGAAATCTTTACCGGCGCAAAAAGCTTCGGGTCGTCAGGCTCCCCAACAGCGTCTTTACGAAGAGTGATGCTCAGCAAAAAAGATGGTGCCGAGCTGCAGGAGTGCGAAAGAGCAATCCAACAAACTCTTTTCCGAGTGGACTGGGACAAGCGTTGGCATCTATTCTTGGGCAAACGAATTTGGCTTTCAGTTCTTTCGTGACAGGCAGCTGCAAGGGAGAGCGCGGTTTGGGCAGACAACGCGATATTTTCCCTGTACCTTTGCCTGAGCTGTGGCCTGAATCCGTTCCTTGCAAAGAAGAGTTCTGTTCCATCCGCTTGGTGATTTTGCATTGCTGTCTATCCGCTTTGAACTTTTTGGCAGTGGATTTCAATGCTGCTCGCAGCCAGCCATCCAGATGTGCCGCGACTGCGAGCCAGCGTGCGGTCACGAACCACGTTGCTCGTCGTTGTGCCGGTTTTCTGCACCGTCTTGCGGAAGCGTGTCCACCAAACTTTGACTGGACCAGTGGTTTTGGCAGATACGAGTCGGCGGAGAAGTCTTGTGGTCTTGAGCTCAAGGCGGAGGCTGTGGACATCCCCGCGCAGGCAGGGACATGTGATCCAAGCCCTCTGCTTTCGGACGACTTGCTGCAGGCAGTTTCGGATGTGGAGTCACTTTTTTCGCGGGAGTTGTCGTACACACTGCAAACACCGGGCCCGAAAGGCAAAGACAGGTCAGAATACATCAAGCTGGTCCTGCGCCAGTTGGATTGTGGTAAAGTGCGGCTGAGGCTTCGGGTTCGTGCTGTGGCTGAAGTTTTCCCAGTGGCGAAGACTACACCGGGTAGGCAGCGAGAGGTCTGGAATGGTTCGCTCATTTCCGACACAGCTGCGCAGCCGCCTAAACCTCGGTTTCTTGCAAATCCTGCTTGCTTTGTTGATATTCATGCACAGAATGGCGAAACCTTGTACTTCTCGAAGCGGGATGTCAGCACTTGCTTTGATGTCATCCAGGCACCAGATGCCATGCAAGAATGGTTTGGGCAACCGGCCGTCACCTTGCGTGAGCTTGCGCGCTTTAGCAACAAGAGTTTGGCAGAGCTCGTGGAGTTTGTGGTGGACAGGGAGACTGCCCACCTTCAGCTGGATGCGAAGCTTTACCCAGCAAGCACGGTTTGGCGAATGGGTTTCAGCTGGAGCTCGGCAGTTGCCCAGGACTGCACCGTGAGTTGTTGTTTGCAGAGTGGCGTGCCAGAAACGGCTTTTCTGTGCATGGAGCAGCCGCTTCCGTTGGACCAGTCAGAGTTGTGCGGAGTTGCCACCGACGACACAATTTTTGTGCACCGATCGCAAGCACATGCTCAAGAACGAATGGCGCAGCTAGATGCGGCTATGATGCAAGCCGGAATGCCAAAAAATGCCGAAAAGGACGTCAACTGGGAATCAAGCATGGCTGCTCTTGGCTGCCAGTTGTTCGCAGACCCGCCTGCTGTCGAGCCAAATTCTGCAAAGCTTTTCGGGCTTTTCGCTGCTTTAGTGGGGCTGCTGCTCAAACCCACAGCTTCACCTAAGGCGCTCAGCAAAGCACTTGGCGTTTCGCAGTGGTTTTGCCTGCTGCAAAGGCCAATGTTTTCAATATTTGACAAGGTGTATGACTTCGTTCGTGACAGCAATCAATCTGCGCAAATTTCATTGCCACCGGCCGTCGCAAATGAACTTGCGGTGGCAACTTTCCTGATGCCGTTGCTTGGTGCAGACCTTTCTCGTGATTTTTTGTGCAAAATCACGGCGAGTGACGCTTGCCCGGAGTACGGTTTTGGGGTGTCAAGTCTGCGATGCTCCCGTGAGACGGCAAGGAGTATCAGTCAGTTGGCAGAACGTCATGGTGATTATGTGCGCCTTTACTGTCGGCCGGGCGATCCGCTTGAAAAAGACCGCCTGGGAAAGCCTCACCGACTTCCTTTCAGCCAGCAAGACTTCCGGTGCGTTCTCAGCAAGCGGGCTCGTTGGAAAGCCCACTCTGGAATCTTGGAGGCGCATGGCCTTCTGCTCGCTG